TCATCAGATTGAGTCGGGCACTTGACTGGGTGTCACCCCCTGTGCTGGGTGCTCCCAGCAAGAGGTCACCTGACCCCACTGAACGCAGGGGCTCTCTGGCATCATCCACTAGCCGGCAGTCTATACATCCCCAAAATAATGAGAATATTTGGCTAAAAGCAGGACTTCCAGACCCTCCCAACCCCTCAGACAGTTTCGATCTCCTTTACTAAGATAAATGATGCCTGATGTACTGGTTTGTGGTACATATTTGTGTTCTAATTATTTGGGGAAATAAATAGGTCAGCACCTGCCAAAATGAGTTAGCGATAAGGCGGTGTGACTACACATGGTGCCCACTCCCCACCGTGCTAAATAGGAGAGTTGTAAGATGTCTTGGTTCGACCACTTGTAACCACCAGATACTTTGGTTTTGGAGAACAGAAGCTCGGTGACACTGAGAGACAAGTTTTGTATTTTATCATTTGGTTCCAGTCGCTGACCTGTATGGAGCGGTCTTGTGGCTGAATCACCCATTTGCCCTATCACCTGATTCTTATTAAGTGTTCTTATGATCAGTTGTTCCATGTTCAGTTCGGTAGTGCTGGCTCCCAGCAGGTTCCCTGCTCAGTGCATACTGAGTCCGGGGGGGAGGGATGGAGGGAGAGCCGTCCGTCGAGCCTGCCGAGCGCTGGTCCTGTGTTAATACGTGGGGCTGACCTGTTGGCACAGCCTGAGGGGTCAGTTCTGTGGCCCCTGTGGGACAGATGAGGAAACTGAGGCTCAGCAAGGTGGAGTAATCTACCCAAAGTCAAATAGCGAGTAAGGATCTGAACCCGGGTCCACCTGACCAGACCTTGTCCTGGCTCTTCCTGCCTGGCCTTAGGTCATTTCCCTGGGGCTCTGGCATTTCAGAGACTCTTCACAGCAGATTTTCATCGTCCTTGCTCCTCTTCCGTTCCATCGCCAATAAAATCATATTCTATTTGGACGCTGAGTGCAGCAAGATCTGTGTGCGAGCCTTTCAAGACACATCCCCCAAGTGCTGTCCCTAAATGGAACACCAGCTGTCGGGTTCTCGTAGACATTCTGACAACACGCACGGGAGAGGGAGATGAAGCAAAACCCATCAACTGGAGAGTAAACGGCTGCTGTGAAAGACACAGCGGAGCTGCTCCCTGCCATTCAGCACCTCAGTGTGACGGACGAGAGAAACACGTATCGGGGGCTGACCCCGACCGGGTGGCCCCCGAAGCATCACTGTGCAGACGTGTGGCTTCTGTTTCCTGCCCTGGGTAGACTAGCTATAGGACCCTGGGTAACTTATTTTAAAACCCCCTGAGCTGTATTTTTTCATCTGTCCAAT